TATTAGGATTTGTTTCAACTGTGTACTCATTGCATCCCAATTTTTAATGGTGATGGGCATCTGCCTTTCGGCTAAGCCATAAATATTTGATTGATCTGGTTTTTAATTATTATTAATAGGAACTGCACTGAAGTTCCATCATTTTTGGCACCTCTCTTATAGGATTGGGTCACGGGGGGAAAAAAAACTTACACTTACAGTGTAGAGGAAGTACTGCATGAGAAACAAGGGTTTACATCTGGACTATATGTGAAAGCTTAGTCAATGCAACACAGAAAACGAAAAAGCATGCCCTCATAACAGAGAAATTCACAGCTGGGGAAATTTTATTTCTCTCCAGATTCTACAGGCTACAGTCCAAACAAGTAAGATTTCTAAGCTGCTGGTGAAAGTTGTGTGAATTGATTGCTAATATAAAGGTCTGGTCCATCGAAATTAGTTTTCATGCTGTTTGAGAAAAGTTCTCCAGGATTTTAGATGGAGCCTTCCTAGATCTAATGATTGCAGGAGGTGGAACCTGGAACGATCAGTGTGCAAATTTTGCTTTGACTGCAGAACGACAGATTTTCTCCTACAAGCCTCGGAAGTCTTCGTAACTAAGTGGCAAGCATCTCCATAAAACGTGTGGCCAGCATTGCTGACCAGGTCTGTGACCAGTCAGTCAAGCAAGCTGGTTGATTTAAGGCCGTGACCTACTTCACCAATAAAAACATCAGTAAGTTAAAATGAAATTTTCAACCCAACCAGCTGCTGTTAATGATCTACCAGTTCCTACGTGGATGAGTTAAAAAAAAACACCTGCTTTGGTATCAACTCTTATCCGCAGCTTTGCAGACCCAACATATAGATAAAGCCAACAGTGCTCTACCGGTGATATTGTTTGTCCTAAAACATGTACATCAATGGTTCCCAACCTTGGTCCCCAGATGTCCTTAGACTACAACTCCCAGAAATCCTGGCCAGCACAGCTAATGATGAAGGCTTCTGGGAGTTTTAGTCCAAGAACATCTGGGGACCAAGGTTGGGACCCATGGCTGTACATAGGGTTTGCTACAAACATAAGGTACAGCACCTGGATTTGTGGTGATACTACCTTCTCAGGTTCCAAAAGCCAGAGTAAGGACCAGGGATGTTGGCAAGTCTTTGGATACAAGTCTGAGGCGTTGGTACCAAGTCCCCAAGTCTGAGTCCCTATTAAAAGCAAGCTTTTTTTGGCCAGAAAAAAGGGAGTGGGCTGGGTTCCATCTCCCTCTTTGGCTTTGCATTACAACTTAAATTCTACTGGACAGTGAGTCCCGCGGCCCATCCCTAGCAAGGAGAGTGGTTTATGAAGACCATCTCCTAGAGAAATGAGGGATTGGTACCCGTTTGGACACACAGAGTAAGACCCAACATTTTCTTAAAATGGGAAAAGCAGAACAAGCCACCCAAGATTCCTGCTCGGGGAAATATTATCTGCTATTCCTGGAACATCTCCTTGAGGAGCACTTATGGAAGTCCTCCAGAAGCCCCAGCTTCTCCAGAAGGAAATCTGAACACCATGAAGGAACGCAGCAAGGTCAAAATAACCTACTTGAGACCATCTGGAAGCAGGTTTGGGCAATATCTTTTATCGGGCCACTCACGGAGCACACGGCCGTTCCCGTTTCTACTGCTCGGAAGACTGATTCCAAGCCACGGCCTCTCCCTGATCCTCCCGGAGGATCCGTACCTCACCCCAATTCCAGAACAAGAGCCAAAAGGGAGGCTTCCCCAACTGGAGAAGCGCCCTGCAGTTTGAGTTTAAGTTGTGGATCCGCCTCGGAAAAGACGACGGCGTTTCACCGGTGGGTGTTTCAGGGTCAACCGTTTTTGCCTCCTGGCTCAGGGAGAGCCATCTTTGTGTTTTGACTTCCCAAACCAGCTACAGACAGACAAGTCTTTGCCCCTGTCCAGGCCCAAAGGAGCCCTTTCACAGCAGAGGCCTCTTTAGCCGCTCTTGGGTTCAAAAATGTCGCAATCGTCCTGCCTGTGTTTGGATAACGGGCCCTGTTTATTTACCGCTGGTGATTTTTCTGCCAGGGAGCAGGAGCTGTTTTCTTTTCTTCTTAACATATGCTGCCTGCTATAACATGAGGCCCAGGGTAAGGGGAGCTGGCCGGAGCGATCTGCTTCATCCAGAAAGCATGCAGAACACGGAGCGACTTTGCGGCTGGCTACGATTTTAATCTTTGGAAGAAGATGAAAAAAAAAAGAAAAGAGGGGCTCGGGTGGTTTTGATCAAGGGAGAACACGGTCAGTTCCTTTTTTTAAAAAAAATCCAGTTTTAACTTCAGTAGCACCTTAAATCAAAACCAAAGTTTGAGAGCTAACTTAAAAAAAAAATCTGAGTAATTTTTAAGCCATTAGCTTTTTTTTCCCCACACCAGACTAAACTTGGAAGGATCTCTGCTGGTTACTTCTAGGCATGTGAAGTCAGATTATAGCTGTTCTGCCATGGGGGGTTGGGGGTCAGGATAGCAAGGGAATTTAAAACAAACCGCTCTGCTTTTACTTTTTGTAGTTAAAAGCTGCTGTCTGTTCCTCTTGCCATACTGAGAGAACGAAGAAAAAAAATCCTAGTTCTCTCACCTGGGTGAAGAAAAGGCCTTCTAAAAATGTAGCATCTCTCGATATGCGGCCCAAATATTATGCACGTATAATCTCCCTTAAGGATCAACCTATAAATTGAGACAGTTAAGGAGGCAAGTATGACGGTGTTTTTTTTTTTAAAAATGTATTTTAGAAAAGTGTGAACCTCAAAGAAGGGTTTCACAGTGCACTATGCTATGTATTTAAACAATTTTTTCAAAAATTTCACACTTGTAAGGGTTTCTCATTTTAATTCAGTTCTCTCTTCAGCCATGCCCTCCCCCGTCCCAAGGATGGGAAGTAACTTTCTGGGAACCTCTGTCCCAATCTGCAGAAGCAGACTTGCTTTACACCATTGTGAAGGGCCTATTAAGATAACGTTATGTTGAAAGTTTTGCATACTTCAAGCACTGTTTTGGTCTTATCATCAAAACAAGGAGTATTCCTGCCATTAAAATTTTTTTTTTTTACAAGATCTATAGTAGAACATACTATTCATACTGAGTCCTGCTACTGGTCATTTCCTGGATTAACTATTAAGAGATCCAGTATTGTCCATTTCCTTTAGCCAACAAAAAAGTTTTCCAAGCAATTAACAGCCTGATTCGATGCAGAGCTGGACATACATGTCTACTGATTTAAACTACTCCAAATCTGAGAAATTCTCCATGGGATCAAGCTGAAAGCCTTCTAGATGACCCACTGACTTATCTAGCAGTCCTTGCTAAGTGCTTTATGTGAATTATTAGCTTTATTGTGAATTAAAGGTCTCTCTCAAGAACCAATTTGGGTTGCTTACAACAGCATTGTTGTGTTTCTGCGAGAGCCTGGAAAGTTAATTTAACTATTAATTAGCTGTTGAAAAAGTAAGACATTACTATTCTGGCTATGAATTTTTTTTTTGAAATACTTTGTTAAGTTCCCACTTCTCGAAAGCAACTAACCGTTTTCTTTGAGCTGCTTCTGTAGAAACTGGAAGGCCCCAAGCCACAGGCCTGTGTCGCAAAACACTGTTTAATTTGCCCTCTGTCTCAGTGCTGTCTCAACATCCACAACACATAGGAAGTGACAGCACTTGGTCAACTTGTAAAGTAACTTATTTATACCTTTCTTGTTTGTGTTATATACCATCAAGTCATTTCTGATCCCAGGGTACAGTGGTGCCCTGCTTAACGATTACCCCATTTAACGATGAAATCGCTTCATGATGTGTTTTTTGTGATCGCTATTTCGATCTCAAAATGACGATTGAATGGTTTTTTTTCGTTTCACGATGATCCCTGCTTCGGGAACCGATTTTTTGCTTTACGCCGATCAGAAAACAGCTGATCATCAGGTTTCAAAATGGCCACCCGCTGTTCAAAATGGCTCCCCGCTGTGCTTAGGATGGATTCCTTGCATTACAGGCATCAGAAAATGGCCACCCCATGGAGATCTTCGCTGGATGCTGAAGTATTTCGCCCATTGGAACGCATTGAGCGGTTTTCAATGCGTTTCAATAGGCTTTTTACTTTCGCTTGATGACAATTTCATTCTACAGCGATTTCACTGGAACGGATTAACGTCGTCAAGCGAGGCACCACTGTATAATGGGATATTTACAGATGGTTTTAGTGTATGTCTACAGCCAAGAAGGGAGTTGAACTCAGGTATCTTGGGACCCAGAATGACATTCTCTCCAGTCTGTTCTACTCCACAGGGCTACATTACCTTCCTTACTGCAGAAGACCAATTCATTATAAGTAACCCTCTATTTGTAAACAGTTGCCTCCAAGCTCCGATTTCAACACATTTAAACAGTTTTTCGTGGCTCTATCTTGTGAACAATGAAACTCACAAGCTGGCGATCCCAGGATCTCGGCCATGACAGCTAACTGTTGCAATCTCCAAAGCTCAGAAATGTGTATTGAGACTACCAAACTGACCACAAGCAATTCATGAGTCTCTGGCAAACTGTTCACATGAAGAGACTACCCCTCCAAATGAACTGACACACATAAATGGCTCACAATACTACCATTAGCTCTAGACAGCTTTTGGCATGCGCCATTTAAAAATCAGATCAAACATCCATGTCTACAATGAACTGATCAATGCTGTTAGCTAATGAGTGCTTCAAGTCACATTAAATATTCCCACAGCATTTGAAGGAAGCCTTTTTTTTTTTTTTTTTTTTTTAGACATAACTGAAATATGACAAAGTTGTGCAAGTTTTTGAGTTTTCCAAAACCCATCCTCAGGCTAGGTAGTGGAAAAAGCAGAGGAAGAATCCAAGAAATTTGCAACGGAAGCCTATTTCAACTCAAACCCACTCTTCTAAGTTAAGGGAATATACGAGGAAAAGGAGAAATTCAGTGAATAATTGAAATAAAGACTCAACCAACGCCACATGACCATGAACACATTTACTGCAAGTAGCTCTATGGAAAGCCAATTCAGATAAATATAAACACTATACAGAGCTTCAAGCCAGTCTCCCAAAATTGCAAATGTGCCGCATTTTACCATGAAAAACAATGTAACAATATTTACAGTGGAAGACACAGCCAGATCAATCAGCTCAAACTTTTCAACGGATCAGTGAAGCAGGAAAATAGCAAATATAATGAACAGTTTCAACCCTCTTATGTTTTAGAGTTTGTACAGACAATAACTGTCCAATATCAAATTAAAATTTACAGGACAAACATTGTTCCATCATTGGTTTGTTTTCGTTTTTCTGTACTATACAGCAGCATAAAACGGGTGGCTGGAAGGTTGCCCACGTAGTGATATGTTGTACACAGTTGGAAAATGATCTTCCAGCACAATACTGGATAAGTTAGTTGCTGTAAACCAAGACAAAAAGATTGCATATTTATTATGCTGTACCTGTTAGTATTTGTACCATTAGAGGTGAGGTTACCCATTTTTCTCCTTTATTCAGCATTTTTAACATCAGTGCTGTATATTGTACCATGGCAGCCTCAAGGATCTAATACGCAAAGAATGTAATATTTATTAAACCTTTTTCACAATTTTGAACTGTCACCCAAATGTCTTCTTCTTCTTTAAATAAAAATATGTAAACCTTTTTTTTTATTTTAAAAAAAGGCAGTACCTATTGCATTGTTAATTTCCAGAGTCCAAACGAAACATAAATGGCAAGACAGCATTGTGGTCTAGAAAAGTGGTCATTTTCTTAAAGTTAAAATCCGTTTAGCAGCAAGTAGGTGTCTGTACTCTTGAAAACCTTGCTTTTCTAGATTCAGAAACTCGTCTGTGCTTTTCAACCCTGCAGCGCATATATATTTCCTCTCCTTGTGATTGGTATCTCTGTGTAACTCGGCGATACCAACTAGCTTGGCCAAATGTTACCTAGCTCATTGTGTGACATGCCTATTAAGTCTAAACCAAATAGATTCCTATATATAATAATGACATCAAAACTGAAAGCAGGATCTGATTCATTACGTAAACTGGTCTAGTACTTTGAAAAGGTCCGACGCCAAAAGGTTGAAGCCATTTTTGCTCAATACTTGTACAATATACCATGTAGAGGAATACCAGCTGTGTGGTGCCTGAGAGGATCTGTGTGTCCTGCTTTCAACTCTTTCAGTTATCACAGTTTCTAATTATTAGTATATAGTAAATGTACCAACAACTAGTATTCTGCTCTTTAATGGCAGGAGCCCAACCAAGTGAGGCAACACCTGGCTTTTGACTAGTTTCGAATTTCCAATTTTAAACTAAGGAAGAAATCTCCCCCTCTCCTCACATTAGGCATAATAATATAGACAGCATTAGCTATGCTTTTTCTAGATTCGAAAAAAGGTGTCTTCAAAGGAAAGGGACGTTGTTACCTATGTTTAAGATTAAGGGACTCTCTCTATAAAAGCTTGATAGCACATGAACATTGTAATGCAAGGGTAATGTACACTTGAAGAGTCTGCAGTTTTTCCCATTTGAACATAGGTTAAAAAAACAAAACAAAACAAAACAAAAATCAACTCCCTGCTTATCCAAAATGTGTAATTAATAGAAGTCACTATATAGGGAGATGTAAGGGATTTCATTTTTTAGACTATAATCAAGATACAACCTGTTATTCAGTTCTAGTTTCACATTCCAGATATCCTCGTCAACAATCTTAATTTTAAGAGGGCGCAAGATTTTATATATATATATATATTAAAAAAGTTACAGGATCCACAAACCTCTTGTACCAAAAAGTGAAATTAAGCAAAACAAACCAAAGAGGGTGGGTGTCCCTCCAGTACCATCTCTCTCATCTCCCATTTCGCTGGAGGTTGTCTGACCACAACCTCTGCACACACGTATATGCCTGCGAGGAGGGAACGTTAGCAGGGCACGAAAGCAAGTCACACTTTGCTACAGCCCAATCTGATGCACGTTTCCAGGGATGAAATCCTACCAGAGTCAGCAACACATCCTCCCATATTTGTCATGACCACCCTTAGCCTCTCCCTCTTGGGAGAAGGGAAAATGTGGAAATGCCATGCCATACCTCTCCCGCCACAATCCACTGGGTCTTTGGCAACGGCAGGGATGCTTCAAAGTTGGCTCACCAGCAGCTGTTTTCAAAGTGGACAGCGATGGGGCCAACAATAAATGGCCGCTTCGTACAGGGAGCCTGACAAATGCTGAGGAGTGGGGTGGGAGGTAGGAGGACAAGGGAGAGCTCTGACGCCTCCTCGTCTGCCCTGGGACAACAGGTAAAGGTACACAGGAGCCCCCCTCACGGTGTTCAAGAAAGAACATGTGTGGAAAAAGAGGAAAATCTCCCATAGCTTACTTAGCAAGGACCGGGGGCCAGGAGGCTTATATGTGTGTGTAGGAAATCTTATCACCTGAAACACTGGCTGCAGATGTCTTGTCCTGAAAACTAGTCTCGGGGGAAACAAAGCAGTGACCAGCTAGCTTCAGATTATTGAAGCCTGTTGTTCCCATCCTCTCAAAAAAAAAAAAAGGAAAAAAAAAGGGGGGGGTTTCACTGCCAACCACAATAATGATAATAATAATAATAATTTGAACCATTTATAAAACATTTAATCTACATTGCAAGTAATAGAAAAGCAAACCCCATTGTTAGGTAGATTCTCGGACACCAAGAGACATCTCGGAACAGAAACTGACAAGGAAATGAGAGAAGCTGCACAGGAAGGGATCCCTTCGGCATCAGCATCCGCACGCCCCCCCCCCAAGACAGAGAGGGCTGAGAGGGAGGTGGGAGGGAGAAATCTCCCTTCCAATAAAACTCATTGATGACAAAAGTTCGTTCGGATTAGCACAACGGTAGACTCAACCATCACTCAATGAAAATCATTCCAACGATGCCTGTCCATGTCTGGGCTGGTGGAAGAGAAGAGAGTTGGCTGAAGATGGACTCTGCTTCCAAAAGCACCACGCAGTTATGGAGACACCAGCTGGAAAGCCTGCTTTTCTCACAATGGTTTCCATGGTAATGCCATCAGTCTAGAGGAAGGAACAAAAATATTTTAGTGCAAGCAAAATGGGAGGGAAAAACGCTTCTCTTTTAAAGTTGTTTCTAGGAGAATATTAGCCTAACCTTAGCCCATTCATATATTTTTCAAGCAACAGTTTATGGGTTACGAAACCCCGTAACAAGAAGAATTTACAGTGGGGCAAATTTCATACCCTGCACTTCTGAGTCACAGGGCTTTCTGATGGATTGCAGAGAGGAGCAGGTAATGGGAATGTCTTCAAACTGTTGAGTTCCCTTAAGGTTGCCCACAGGAATATTCGCCACCCCTGGTGTACGGCAATCAAGACAGAAGAAACCGGAGCCATACATAGAGAGAAATAAATCTCCCCAGAATCCTGCCCCAATTGGGATTTTACCAGGTATGCTCGGGATCACAAGAAACTACACAACTTGTGTTATTCTACAAAATGAACCCATGAGTCAATCTGTGGTCTCCGTCACCCCATGGGAATGCTGTGGCAACATTCTTGGCATAACTGATTAAAAAGCCCCAATGAAAACAGTCATTGTAAGTCAGTATTAACTAGGAGCGGTGTCCCAGAGGCAGACCAATTCAATTTCTCATCTTTTTTTTTTTTTTGAAAAATAAAAGAAATTAGGCCACTGAACAAACGTGTTAGGAATTCAGAGAATTTCATACTAGGAAATGCATTTCTTAACCATATATTAAACTGAACTGTAAAATGAAAAAAGAGGAAGATAAAATCCCACACAGTTTATTCCAAGCAGTCCATTTCAAGGACTGGGTGCTTTTCGTCATAGCCCCAGAAATGGACAAAACTCTGCTACTGTTTAAAGGACTGATGCACCACCACTTGGTGCATGAGGCAAGCCATCGCACGGGCCTAAGATAATCATTTCGTACACACCAGCCAAAAATATCAGCGGCACTGGACAAAACACATCACCCATTGCTTAAGTTTAGTTAGTGCACTTACAGATTTTGTATATGAAAACTCTCAAACTTAACGATAATGAGTAGGAGCTAATACAAGAGTACAAATTCTTCAGTTATGTTCTCTGAATCAAAGCAACATCCTGTGTATATGCAACATATGTTGAACATGCTTAAGAGTGCCTCTGATAATTTGCACACTATGGATAAGTCTTAAAATTCCACTTCTAACATAAACAACTTTAGTTTCCTCCCACCACCCACCCAACTTTGCTTTCTTTTCTTGTTCTAAGACCAGCACTTTCTTACCGCAGGAGGGCAACAGTATGAAGCCATCACTCTCCAACAAGGATAGAAATGGTTTTAGTAAGCTTTCTCTATTAAGTTCAGCCTTTAACTTTTTTTTGTAAATTCTTAATTAATGACATTCCTCAAATCCATTCTGACTTATGGTGACCCATTTCTAGGTCTATAGTAGTAATAGCAAACTAGTAATAATAATAATATAGTACTCAGAAGTAGTTCATTGTTCCCTTGCTCTGGGGGCAGAGTTGGACCACATAGGTTGCCCAAGGTCACATAGGCTGGCTTTTCTCTTTCAAGACATATTGCGGAACCAAACTCCTAACCCCTGGTTCTGCAGCCAGGTGCTCCACCTCACTGAGTACAAGAATCAAGAACTCTCTTAATATCAGTACATGCAGGCACAAAAAAACCTAAGACAGCGATTCCCAAATGCTCTTGGATTACAAATCCTAGAAACATTAGCCAGCATACAGATGGCCAAATCTTCTTGGATTTATAGTCAAAAACCACCTAAGAATCCTGGTTTGGGCTTAGATGTAACAATACTCAGCCACCCACCCAGTTATCACTCCCTCCTTTCTCTTCTTTTAGATGCTTTAATTCTACACTTATAGTGTTTAGTCAGCCATGTTTCTCATAATTGCCCAAACCAGGAAACTGGTTTGAGCCATTTCTACGAACAGTAATATCAGACCACAAGGATGTATTTAGAGATCATTGCATGCAAACAGAGGGAGTACTGTACTGTGCTGGCTCTGTTTCTATGAGCAGTTCCCTGTTCTGTTCGCCAGGGCTAGACAGAAACCCTTCCACAGAACGTGCATGCCAGGCAACAACCTGCAATACATCCCTTGCACCCAGGCCTAAAGAACATCCATGGAACTGCCACACCATCCACCCACTGAGGGGGGGCAGGTGAAATTTCAGTCCCTTACGTACGTTCTGGCAAACGTTCTGCTCGCCAAAACCAGAATGAATTTGGCAAAATGGTTTAAAAATGCAGAAATAACAGAAATGGGTGGGGCTGAGCTATCTGCACACTATAGCTAAGTCTCAAAATTTAGCTTCCAACATGGACAACTTTACGATGCTGCCTTCCTCACCCTCCAATTCTTTTCTTCAAATTATTGCAAGAACATCACTGTAGCGTTTGCCCAGGTCATGAATATTCATATACTATTTGCATGGATCAATGGGAGTGATGGAGGGGCGGAGTCACAAGGTATAAGAGACTCAGCAGGAGGACAAGGAGTGGAGACAGACATAGAGAGGGTTCTAGAGATAGGCCGTTTGAGGGAGAGTTGAAAGGTTTGGTGTAGTTTTGGAGCTTGGGAGGAAGAATGGTGGCTGGGCGTGATTAAAGAAGAATGTTTGCTTCAGAGTTAGCAACCTTGCTTGTTCTGTCAACACCTGTATCAATAAACACTTTCTATTTGGTTCTTTTAAAATGACATCTGGTCTGGACATCTATCATTCATAATTAGGTACTCTTGATGAAATCAACCGGTGGCAGCTGAAGGGCACATCGTGTGAGCTCCTAGTTTGGTGAAACAATCAGGGGCCACGTAGAATCATGACAAGCACCTATTTACAGCAGGATGTCCCACAACTTGTGTGGCAGAGTAGAAATAAAATGCAGCTTTGTCTCGTAAGTCTCTCTGAACAAGAGTAGAAAGATCTATATCCAGAGGTGTATCTAAGCTGTCCATGGGAGCAAGAAAGAAAGGAAGACATGCAGAGGCACTGCCTCTTTGTTTAAGATACGGAGAATTTTTTTTCAAGACAACTAGCCCCAGAAGCCTACACGGCTAGCAAAGTCCTCCTTTAGCCAACTTTGCACAGACTCTGGAGAAGTTGTCAAGAGTTTGATTCCACTGTTTTGTTTGTGGACAGCGAAGTACCTACTACAGCTCAGAGCTAAAACCTATCCCATAGTCCTAACTCTCCGCTTTTTACTCCCATAACTCTTTGTCTGCCTCTCTACATGAGCACAGGAGCGAGAATCCAGCAGAATGCACGCTGGAGTGCTGAGGCACTTCTTCAAACTGCAAGGATGGATGTTGGCAGGAATGAAACTGCCATACTTTCCCAAGATTAGCCCGATTAAAAGTCTAACCACAAATTTTTCGATGCGAACAACCATACAGATAGGAGGCATAATTGGCATTCTTGCAGATCATTAATTTGGGCATAAAAACCAGAATCATTTTTGATGGCATTCCTTTGGAAGTGCCAAAATGCAGTAAGATACAGATATGGCAATGAAACATAAAATTCCTTCCTGAATACACAGAGGAGGGGCAGAAGTCTTGAGTGTCGTCCCTACAACCCCAAGCACGCTGGGGCTTAATAGCTAAGGTAACAGCTAGATGTATTCCCACATAAGAAATACTATATTTTCAATACAGATAAACTAATTAATACAGCACTTTAATACAGACTAGCATACAAATATATGAACACATCCAACTACGGACAAAACCTGAACATCAGCTACTTATCCTGTTTCTATCTACCTGATCCTGGTCTCTGGAGACCAATCCCAGACAAAGGATCTATGGTGCTGCCATAGGGTGCATACATTTGGACTTCCTCAAATCAACAGATAAGAGAACTCCAGGACAGTTGACAGCCAGCTAGTGCTCCTCTGTTTATGTTTTTGGAGCTGGAGGCAGGATAAGTTTTAGCAGCCAATTCTCTAGATACATACGACTGAAGCTGCATAGGACTTCAGATATTGCACTAATAATATTTACAGTGTCTAAAAATGTTTTAGGGGCATGGGTGGCCAACAGTGGTTCTCCAGATGTGGTTGTATTGCAACTCCCAAGAGCCACAACCAGTGTAGCAAATGGTGAGTTACAAATGTTGGAGGAATACAGCTGCCCACCCCTTGTTATAAGAAAACAAAACAAAAACCCTGTAATGTGTTCCTGGCAACCAATCCTGTTGGGAGATGGACAGCTATCTTGAACTTCACTCAAGAAATAACGGCAGCACACCTTGCTGCCAGAAATCTGAGATACAGATAAAGTGCTCTAGAATTCTAAAGGTTCTCTAGAATTGGTGAAAAGCGTTTTGAATTACCAGTTCAACCTCAGACTTTGGATATCAAAGCTAGTGCCAATCTTAAGTGTGTCTTCCTTTTTATACAGGCAATAACTACATGATTTGGGTGTACTCCTCCTCAAAGCTTTGCCTTATTTCTAGGGTTTTTCACTCCCATTAAGGAGGAGAAGGCAATGAAGAGGGCAGGAACCACAGAAGCATTCCTACAAGTGAGAACATTTTTACAGCATTACAATACCGTAGTGACACAGAAGCTTCCACTGCCTGTCACCAGAGAGGATGAGCAAGGATACATCTGCTAGCTGTTTATTCATAAAACCTGAAGAATCTCCATTCAGAATTACTGAAAAGCGCCAGAGGAAATGCACCTGTGCCTCCAGGTCTTAATGGAAAATACAGGCAATGGGTCGTATTCTGTGGTGTCACATTTGCTGCCTAGAAAAATCCCACTCCTCATGGGGATGGGGACACGGACACACACACACACACCTATCTTGCCTACTTAAAACTTTATTGCTGACACTTAGACTTCTGTAGAAATGTCAGGACTTCTTACTAATTATTTAACAGTTCATTTCCTCTGCTATAGGACTGTATGAACAGAGGAAAGCAATACTAATGGTCTCCTAGGAGCAACCATGCCAATGATCAAGAAAGGAGCTGCTCCATGGCTGAATCGGGCCAAGAACAAGGCAGCTT